GAATGAGTAGGGGGCACATAAATCCTTTACTCACTCACACAAAAAAAATGCAATAAATAAATACGCCACACACTTTGACAAGCCATTCATGACAGCTAAAACTATTACTTATAACAGTGAACTTTACAGATGTAAGCAATTTCAATGTAAAAAAAACCCCTGATCATCCCCTCCCCAGAGCAGTACAGTGTCACTATGGTAACCTAGGACTACTCTGATGACAGTATGTACAAAGAATAATAAAAAAAAGTGTAAAAAATTTTAAAGATTTTAAAAGTTGAATGCAAAAAATAAAAAAAAAATATATCATTTTTCTTTTTACGTATTGCCACTAGTCAATATCAATGATTACCGCTACACCAGTCACATGATGACGCTGTACTGCACTGGTGACAGTATGTAAAAAAATTTGTTTACAAAAAAAAATATTTTATTTAATTTCTTAAATTTCCAAACAATTGTGACAAAAAGTTACAACTTCAAAAAACTCGCCATGCCTCCTACTAAATATCTCAGGCTTTCTACTTTCCAAAAAGGTGTATTTGGGAGTATTTATACTGTCCGGGCATTTTAGAGCCTCAAGAAAAGATATAGGCCATCAGCATATCAATTTTCAAATATATACCATAGTCTGCAGGCTCTATAATTTGGCAACAGGAGTGAATGTGTTGGTGGGTCTGCTATTTTGTTTTGGTGGATGTCATTTTATCTGATTGAAAAGGATTTGCTGGATTACTAGATGATGTGATTGACAATTGATTCATATCATGGAGCATTTTTTTAACTGCTTGACCTCCAGAAGGTTTTACCCCTTTCACAACCAGGCCATTTTTGGCTCTTCATCACTGTGCTACTTTAACTGGCAATGTATTAGTGATGCAACACAGTACCCAAATTAAATTTGGATAATTTTTTTCATACAAATAGAGCTTCTTTTGGTGGTATTTACCGTATTTTTGCTCCATAAGACACACCTGACCATAAGATGCACCTAGGTTTTATAGGAGGAAAACAAGAAAAAAAATATTCTGAACCAATGGACTGCAGACATAGTACAGGAGATGACCAGAGACTGCGGACACAATACAGGAGATGACCAGAGACTGCGGACACAGTACAGGAGATGACCAGAGACTGCAGACATAGTACAGGGAATGACCAGAGACTGCAGACATACTACAGGGAATGACCAGAGACTGTGGAGAAAGTACAGATGACCAGAGATTGCAGACATAGTAAAGGAAATGACCAGAGAATGCAGACACAGTACAGGAGGTGACCAGAGACTGCAGACCTTTGGGGAGAAGAATGGGAGGCAGCGGGTACCCGAATTTGACAGGTTCCTGCTCCCATCTTCTGGGACCTGTCACATGTCCCAGAAGATGGGAGCAGGAAACTGTCAAATTTGAGTACCCACTGCCTCCCCTTCTGCTTCCCAAAGGTCCGCAGTCTCTGGTCATCTCCTGTACTGTGTCCGCAGTCTCTGGTCATCTCCTGTAGTATGTCTGCAGTCTCTAGTCATCTCCTGTACTGTGTCTGCAGTCTCTGGTCATCTCCTGTACTATGTCCGCAGTCTCTGGTCATCTCCTGTACTATATCCGCAGTCTCTGGTCATCTCCTGTACTATGTCCGCAGTCTCTGGTCATCTCCTGTACTGTGTTTGCAGTCTCTGGTCATCTCCTGTACAGTGTCCACAGTCTCTGGTCATCTCCTGTACTATGTCTGCAGTCTCTGGTCATCTCCTGTACTGTGTCTGCAGTCTCTGGTCATCTCCTGTACTATGTCCGCAGTCTCTGGTCATCTCCTGTACTATGTCTGCAGGCTCTGGTCATCTCCTGTACTATGTCCGCAGTCTCTGGTCATCTCCTGTACTGTGTCCGCAGTCCCTGGTCATCTCCTGTACTGTGTCCGCAGTCTCTGGTCATCTCCTGTATTATGTATGCTGGACCATTCACAAAGAGCAGCGCTTCTCACGCAAATGCGCAGTGGGCACCCATCTGTGAAGCCACAAGCTGTCGCCCTAAAGATGCCGGCACCAGGGAGAGAAGATGGTGAGGACTCCGCTGGACTGAGGAACATGTAGGACCAAGGAGCAGGTTCTGCTGCACAGAAGAGCCGAGCGGCCGGCCAGGTATTCTAACACGGCAGTGGCAGAAGCGGGAATACCGGGCCGGAAGCTCCATATTCGCTCAATAAGACGCACAGACATTTTCCCCTGTTTTGGGGGGAAAAAAGTGTGTCTTATGGGAGCGAACAATACAGTAATCAGCACTATTTTTTTTCTCTTTTTTGGTATATAAATGTAAAATTTAGGCCCAAATCAGTGTTTATTGTTTAGTCTGTGTGAAAGTTATAAAGTCCACAAACTATGGTATACATTAACCGGCCACTTTATTAGATACATCTGTTCAATTGCTTTTTAACAAAATTGCTAATCAGCCAATCACATGGCAGCAACTCAAAGCATTTAGGCATCTAGACATGGTGACGACGAATTGCTGAACATCAAACCGAGCATCAGAATGGGGAAGAAAGGGGATTAAAGTGACTTTGAACATGGCATGGTTGTTGGTGCCAGATGGGCACAATCATCTCTAGGGTTTACAGAGAATGGTCTGAAAAAGAGAAAATATCCAGTGAGCGGCAGTTGTGTGCACAAAAATGTCCTGCTGATGTCAGAGGTCAGAGGAGAATGGGCAGACTGGTTGCTGCGACATTCAGATGGGCAGGGTCAGAATTTGGTATAAACAACATGAGAGCATGGATCCATCCTGCCTTGTATCAATGGTTCAGACTGGTCGTGGTGGTGTAATGGAGTGGGGGGGATTTTCTTGGCACTAGTAAGGTGTACCTAATAAAGTGGCCAGTGAGTGTACATACCTCATTTATTGAGGCCCTAAAATGCCTGGACAGTACAAACACCCCCCAAAATAATAATAATGGAAAGTAAACACCCCAAGGTACTTAATAAGAGGCATGGCAAGCTTTTTGAACTTTTAGTTTTTGACAAAGTTTTTTAAAAAAACGAAGACATTAAATAATTATTAACAATTTGTTAGTAACATACTGTCACTGGAGCAGTACAGAGTCACCATATGACTGGTGGCATTGATCCGGGACACTGACAGGTGAAGTATGGTGATGCAGTACAATGTCACCATGGTAACACTACTGCTCTAGGGAGGAGGTCACTATTTTTTTTTAACTATGATTGTTTATTACAGTAATGATCACTGTTATAAGCAATTATTTTCATGAAAGGCATCATTCATGCTCTATTATGTACTTTTGTGATCTTTGTGATTGGCTGCAGCTCTGATATGGTACAAGTCTACTGTGATTAGCCCTACACCATGTGATCACTGTGACCAGTCACAGATCACAAAAGTACACGAAGGGTATGAATGAAAGCCATTGTATACAACTGACATATGATCATTGTGATTGCTCACAGTGATCCCATGGTAGCAGGGCAATGCAGAGCAACCTGGTACCACAACCCGGGGGACTCAGCAGGTCACAGATCTCACTGCTGCGAGTCCCCAAAGGTGCACAAGGTGCAAGAGCAGGAGAACATCATATGACGTCCACGCAGAATACCAGTGTTCCCGCCCGACCGTATTATTATAATAGGCCAGGCAAGACGTGGTTAATGGTGTATTAGAGACAGCAGGGAGATATTTAATAGAGTATTACAGAGAGCATGGAAATAATAATCATTATATTACCGAGATTAGGAGGATAATAAATAGTGTATTACAGAGAGCAGGAGAACATGGAGGTGACAGAAGAGACATTAATGAGCGTATTACAGAGAGCAGGAGAACATGGAGGGGACAGAAGAGACATTAATGAGCGTATTACAGAGAGCAGGAGAACATGGAGGTGACAGAAGAGACATTAATGAGCGTATTACAGAGAGCAGGAGAACATGGAGGTGACAGAAGAGACATTAATGAGTGTATTACAGAGAGCAGGAGAACATAGAGGGGACAGAAGAGACATTGATGAGCGTATTACAGAGAGCAGGAGAACATGGAGGTGACAGAAGTGACGTTAATGAGCGTATTACAGAGAGCAGGAGAACATGGAGGTGACAGAAGAGACGTTAATGAGCGTATTACAGAGAGCAGGAGAACATGGAGGTGACAGAAGTGACGTTAATGAGCGTATTACAGAGAGCAGGAGAACATGGAGGTGACAGAAGAGACATTGATGAGCGTATTACAGAGAGCAGGAGAACATGGAGGTGACAGAAGAGACATTGGTGAGCGTATTACAGAGAGCAGGAGAACACGGAGGTGACAGAAGAGACGTTGATGAGCGTATTACAGAGAGCAGGAGAACATGGAGGTGACAGAAGAGACATTGATGAGCGTATTACAGAGAGCAGGAGAACATGGAGGTGACAGAAGAGACATTAATGAGCGTATTACAGAGAGAAGGGAGACATTAAAGCTGAACTCCAGGATTTCTATGTATTGCATACTAACATTCATCCAGATTGGCACAATGTATGTGTATCTTATTCCTGATGAATTGTTGGGGAAGGTGGAAATGTGTGTAGAAGATGATGCTACTACATACAGAATATCCACAATACACCATTTAATGACTTCTGGATCCTGCTCAGGTGCCCCACTGCACACTGACCACAGGGGGGGAGGGGAAGCATGTTCAGCACAGCCGCCATTCATAGAACCCCTTGTTCAGGTGATTTATGATTGGATAAGTTGGAGATCAGCCCCTCCTGTCCACCTCATCCAGTAATGATGTGCTGAAATCAAGTTTGGTGGATTTCAAAACTCATCCCCACTTGTCACTTGCTGGAAGTTACAACATTGCAGTCTGATCAATGGGGAAGAGGAGACTAATGGCATCATCTCAACCGAGGAAAGAGTTGCTGGACTGGAGCTCAAGGATACATTCTTAGGTCTCATTTACACATACGATTCCCAACTCACTGGAAAAACAATTATCCCTCAATGTGTTCGGAGGACAGTACCACCCACTGAAAGCATCGGGGGGATAATGTTCACCGTGCTGCAATGCAAAACATCACAACCATGACATGTGTATACGCCTGTATGGCTGCCATGGGGGGCAGTCAGAAGGTGGTAAAATACAGCTTTACAGTTTGTTTTTACTGCCCCCAACTAAAAGTGTAATCTTAGGCTTAGTAATGAAATGTAAAGCTTTTCAGACAAATTATTCTGTTACTATATATATTGTGAAGTCAAGAATTTAATTTTCATGCAGATTTATGAAGTCACTGAAAGGACCTCTATAATTTGTAAAAGCTACAAAGCTCTTTACAGTTCACTAACATATAATTAAATGTATTTGCCCTTGGTAAAGCAGTATGCATCAAATCTCAAATTACAATACAACGTGGGGTGGACTGACCATTTGGAAACTCGGGCTCTGCCCAAGGGCCCGGGGTCAGTAGGGGGCCCCATGAGATGCCCCTGGTACCTTTTTCATAGGCTTTTTTAAGTTTGGGCAAGGCCACAGGCGCCCCATGATCCTCTGTTGCCCGGGGCCCCATGAGTTTTCAGTCTGCCCCTGAATTCAACAAAACAAAAGGAATCAGATCAACCAAAGCTTACTCTGAACAACCTATGATGGGTCCTTCTGAAGGGAGTCCCCTGCTGCTCAGTGAAAAGATTCCACCAATTATGATATCTCCAGCCTGGAATTGGTCCTCATGGTCATCATATGTTCTCCTTATTCTGAGATGACATGCAGTGGTAGGAGATTTCATCGTGGATCTGCATATTAAAATGAAAAGCACACTGCTATAAAACAGAACCCTCCCGTAGATGAAACGTCCTCATAGTTCCTCTAATGATGATACAGAGATGCATTCACATTCAGTACAATGCAGATTGGCACTAGATCAGTTTCTATAGATCTCAGTATGAAAGCAGCAGGATGGTCTGTTATTCAGTGCATGTGAATTGATCTTCTTACTGCTCTTCACATCTTTTATACAATTTTGTGTCATATTTTTACTATACTTCTGTCTGGGGCCACCAACCCAAACATGTTTGTTAAAACTCTTAAAATATCTTCAAACACATATTGGCTTTCTTAGTCATCTTCATATTTTTATTGAAGAGATTTGTCTTATGTTATTCCTGACACTTTAATCTTGAAATACAGAACTGTAATTTTATGGACATCTTCAACTAATCTTATTATTCAACTCAAAAGCCCAGCTCCAACCAAACCTCACTTCTGGCCAGTTGGATGGGATTCAGATGGGATAAGAAATGGTGGGGGGAGGGGAGACTCCCCCTGCTAGAGCACAGACGGCTATAAAAACACATGTTCACATTTTATTATTGCTGGTGTCCTATTGAGGAGACTTATTATCCATTTCTGTCGTAGTAACTG